TTTCAGTGGCCCATCATTGGTTGCAAGAAGGGGTGCAAACTCCTCACCATAACATAACAGGCCCTTCATAACCTAATATCCAAGCTACCATTTTCTAACTTCATCTCCTGCATCCATCATCTCCAAACATTCTCATAGAACTCTGCTATGACAGAACTCTGTCATTCTTTGTATACCAGTTTAATCTAGCTTACTGGCTTTTCAGCTTTACTTCTTGTATTATTTTTAATGATACTTTTTTTTTAGTTCTAGAATTTTCATTAGGTTCTTCCTTAGAATTCCATTTCTCTGCTGAAATTTTCCACCTTATCAATTTTGACTATCTTTTTCTCTAAATCCTTTAACATGAAAGTTCTTGTTTCCTAATTCAAACATATACAAGTTTGTTTATATCAACTACTTTTTCTCTTGACTATGAATCCCATTTTCCTTTTTTCATGTCTCTCAGTATTTTTATTTTTATGAGACATGATGCATAAAGGAACAATAGGTACTGAAATAGATACTTCCCCCAGTGAAGGTAATTCATTTTCTCTAACAGTTAGAGTGAAGAGTAGATCTCTTCAAAAGGAGTTCATCTGGGTTGGAGCTGAGCAGCCCTTTAGTTTCAGTTCCCTGGTGGCTCAGAGGGTAAAGCATCTGCCTTCAGTGCAGGAGACCTGGGTTCGATCCCTGGATGGGGAAGATCCCCTGGAGAAGGAAATGGCAATCCACTCCAGTATTCTTGCCTGGAAAAGCCCATGGATGGAGAAGCCTGGTGGGCTACAGTCCATGGACTCACAACATGACTGAGTGACTTCACTTCAGTTCCATTTCACTTCTGGTTTCAAATGTCTTGAAGATGGAATCAGGTCTCTTCCTATGGCAGGGCTTTGGGATTTAAACACTGTAATCAACTTTAAGATACTTCTCTCTCTAGCTCAGTCCTAACTTTCTTCATCACTGCTTACTCAGCAAGAGTCCTAACAAGATTTGGCTTCTCAGGTGAACTAGTATCTGAGGATCAACCCTATCCTCCAACCTGTCATGTCAGCTTGTGTGTAACTAATAAAGTTCAGCTGGTTTTTCTGAGGGCCATAAACTATCCCATCTAGCAGGCTCTCCACCACCTGCCTATGCCTCCAGGCTCAGTTAACACTCTCAGGGACACCAGCAGCCACCAACCTCTTTGTGCCTAGGTGCATCTAGGAAGGCACAAAGGTGCGTCTTGAAATTGGTTCATTTAACTTCTTTGTGACAGTTTTCCAATGAATTTTAAAAAATACAACTTTAAAATCATGTGTTTTCCCCTGTCATCACACAGAGAGCAGTCGTCTCCTGAAGTCTTCTATATCCATTCTTCTCTTATTGAAAGGTTATACTCCCTCCTCTTTTACTGACCATCTTCAAACTGAAATATTATGTTTTCTGAAAAATTTGCTTACTGTCCTCTAGATAGCTGTCATTACCTCTTCACTCATCTGTATTCTCCACTAGTCTGTGAATTCCTTTCACTCACCTGTGTTCTCCACTAGCCTGGACAAATATAATGACATATACTGTAGCTGTGGACAGATAGTGGTAAGGAAGGTAGGCAGAAATCAGTACAGCAAATATGTGTTTATGAAAGGAACAAGATGTATGTTGGCTTTTAAATATATGTTACGCATTGAAGACCACACTGTACCTAATCCATACATGAACTGATAATTTATTGCTTCACCAGCTAAAAACATCTTCTCTGAACAAATTGAACCAATAAGCCAAGAATTATATACATATGTTTGAATAAAACTTAATGATGGAAAACTTTGCTGATTCCAAATGAAATGTATATCCTTAAAAAAATACCAAGCAATATTGGCCAATAGGGAGGAGGCCCTAGTATACTATCATATTTTACAAGAGAACTGCTCAGCTCTCTAACTTTAGCACATTCTATAAACACCAGAATTAAACTGCAGTCCTGTAATGTGCTCCCTGTTATATTTTTACATGACCCTATGTTATGCCATAAGGCAGCTATTTATATTCCTAATGTAAAGAGGTATGGTTGCTTGAATATATCAACATTTTCTTAACTTATTCAATGAATAAAGTTCTATTCTCAAGAAGAAAAAAAACTTTTCAATACATACACAATCACACATACCAAGTATTTACAACGAACATGATGCTCTACTCTAATAACAGGGTAGGGAAAAGATACACCCTGATCAGAGTACTTTAAATATATTACTTCTGATATCTGAGAAATTCCTAAGGCAGAATTACTAAGAGGTGTTAAAACAATTTGTCTAGGAAGGTAAATCAATTTAGAAAGCTTAATGCCGATTATCTAGGGTAAAGGAAATAGAATCAATGACAGAAAAAAAAGATATCAAAACAAGTCATTTAGTCAGAGTTCTTGGTAAAATAATTTAAAAGCTAGAAACTTATTTTTACATTTCTTGTTAATTTGTAAAATGTCTTAGAAGTGAACGGAAGGTAAAGGTAATTTAAAATGATATTCCATTAAACAAACAAATAATTAAATTAATCCATAAATTAAATACCTATATCTGGAAAAATCAGAACTGGGACCTCTAGTAAACAATACTTAAACATTTTAAAATATGTTTTAAAGGGGTAATGCATTTTAAAATGCCTAAGAAAGATGTTGCTGTTAGCTGTCCCTCCGTCTACAGTTAGGTTATCTACAGGTATCACCATCCTATCAGATGATATGAGGAGTAACTGCTAAGCAAGGACATTCACACCACAGCAGATATTAATCTGCAAGAACCCTAAATGCACAGATATTAATTAGGATGGTTGTACTTAGTTTTATCTTACACAGAAAATATTTAAATGGAAGCTGAATGACAGCTGGTGGTGAAATGTGAGTCTGTGATTCAATCGCTCAGAAACTATCAGCACTAAGGCAATATAAGTGTAAGAGGCTTTTGAAAGCACTTGCGGATCTCTATAATACGCCCACCTGGAGCAACAAGAAACTACGGGTTTGATTTTTTGTTGTTGATCTAGGCAATTGGTGGGGGGAAGTGAGTTATGAAAGACAGTAACTACTTTCACAATTACTGACCTTCTAAGTAAGTAGTTTCTTTTAACAGGAATATGCTAAGAAAATAAGGTTCATTTACTGATCATACAAATTTCTTAATATGCCTACATGGTCTCACTAAAAGTAGAGAAGGCTTAGGTCAGCAAGAAAAAAAATGAATCAGCAAATGGGCAGAGATCAGAAGGATTCCATATTTAAGTACTGTTATTTCACAGTTCCCATGGAAATGAATATAGAAAAGCATGAGAAGTATGAGTGATGCAGAGGCACTGGTCATCCACATTAGACTGGCTACTACTAAGATAAAAATAAATACATTTAAGTTTTATAAGGTGACTAGGTTACTTCAAAGTACTCCACAGGAGAGCCACTCAAATATCTCCTAATGGTTTCTTAGGAAACCATTTGAACTCCTAAGAACTGGGGTAAGAGCGTTTCTGGATAGGGACCATATTAAAAAATGCCTTCACTTTGTCTTTATTTTCAGTACATAAAAAAGAAAAGAATCACAATCTATTACTTCTAATTAAAGCATGCACAATATAATACCTCAAATTAAATTGCTATTAGACTTGAGCTCATTTTTATTTACCAAATAAATCAGAGGGAAAAGTGTGTTTTCTTAAGGGCTCCTATTAACTCTTTCCTTTATGTAGATGAAAAAATATTAATTTATAATGAGCATAAGTATAAATGAAGATTTATAAGAGAATGAGAAAATGTGGTATCAGTATTATGATATAAGAAAATAAATTCAATGAATAAAGAAATCATTTGAAAAAAATCCAATAATTTAACATTAAAATTGGAGGGAAGAAACCACAGAAAAAAATATAGTGCTTCGATAAATTACAATGTGGGACCAAAAAATTAAAAATGAATTTACAACACAAATCGCAAGGACAACTAACAACAAAATACTCAACAACACAAGTCCTTTTTCAGATCTCATAATTCTTTTGCGCATGACTCTAAACAGGCCATATCTTTAATATTCTCTCAACTTTATACATCCCATTACCAGAACTTAATAGCAAAAGATTAAAGTAGATATGTGAAACTCACACCTGAAGAGATATTTTTCTCTAGAAGTAAATAAGTAGTTGTTCAGTCCCTAAGTCATGTCTTACTCTTTTGCAAACCCATGGACTGTAGACTGCCAGGCTCCTCTGTCCATGGGATTTCCCAGGCAAGAATACTGCAGTGGGTTGCCATTTCCTCCTCCAGGGGAACTTCCCAACCCAGGGATCAAACCATGTCTTCTGCATTGGCAAGTGGATTCTTTACTGGTGAACCACCAGGGAAGCCCAAAATAAGTAGGAGAGGAACTTAAAAAGATGTCAATTAAAATGTACTAACATTGTGTAAATGTATAAAATACTAATGACTAAATTACAAATAGCAAGTATAATGTATTTATTTGCTTCAAATAATATGTGAAACATTAGCAATGAGTTGATAATTACTGAAACCGAGAGACGGGTATTTATTCTATTTGTACGTATATTTGAAGTTTTCCATAAATAAATATATTTTAAATTATTTATTTAATAATAGCTTGATTAGTATGGTTAATTGCCATACATTACTAAATCAATAATGTTTACTGCCATGCATTACTAAATCAATAATGTTTTAGTCATTTCAAAAAAAATATTATCTTTCATATAAAGAAGACACTAATGACCAAGTAAAACAACTGCTCTTACAACTTTTGTAGAATAACTAATTCATGTTGCTGCTCAAAGTCTTTCACACAGTTCCTCTTGAGAACAACTCTATGTATTTTAAAAAGCCAGCTGCTAGAGTAAGGCTAAACGTTCAACTGGAAGTTAACCAGACTTTATCATAATCAAGCCCAAAGCAATACCTTTGAATTTAAAGAGAAAACAACTTTAAAAAAAAAAAGAGAGAGAGAGAGAGAAAAAGGTAAAGAATGCTACAAAGCTTGTCTTACCTTGACCAAGATGTGAAGGTTTCTGAGAAATTATGTGACCACCACCATCTAACACATACTGGGTGCTAAAGTTATCAGCAGCTGTCTTTGTTGTAATTGAAACCTAGAATAAGAAAAACTCAAATAAAATTATGATTTTATATACTGCAGTGGGCTCATTATAAAATGAGGTTTAAAATAATAAATGTATATCCTCTCGACTGAAAAAAGTTTGATTTAATAAGTTCTTACAACCACTTCTCTTTGAAGTATTCCTTAGTGATACACTAATAAACAATACGCTAGCTTACATTTTTCATGTTGCAAATTACTGATTTTTATTTCAAATATATTACCTTAAAACACACACACACATCAGTATACTTGAATGGCTATTTGTACTGTATGTATCAAACAACTTAACATCTGTAAAACCAGATGCTTCAATTGCATTAGGGAAGTTTGCTTTTCAACAGACAATTCCCACAAAGTTGTTGGCAAAGTGAAAAATTCTTTTGTAAAGTGATCATTCACTCCTTTCTTTATATTGAGTATAAAACTGCACTTCTGTATTTCAAGTGAATGGTTCAAAAGAATAAAAATCAATAAATCAAACATATATGTTGACTTATCAGCAATATTTCTTAAACCCAAGCTTTAAACTCACTGTTTAAATGGAAATGTTTTATTATTTAAAAAACTAGAATTAAAACATATAAAAAGGGATTCCATTCAACATGAAAATATTTCCTAAAATGTTAGTCATAGAAACATAAATTTAAGAATGTGTGAACTCTTTTGAGCCATCCTCACCCTCAGCTTTCTACTTACCAACTTTGTGAGATTACTATAAGAGCACATGCTATACCAATGGTAAAACATTCCATTATGAGAAAATACCATAGTTGGTGAGTGGGAATGCTGGCAAAAAAGCAGGGTGGATTCAAAAAAAGCCTTCTCACATTTCAAGTGAGCAATGACAACCCAAAATTGGGCACAATCTTTCTCAGTCATCCTTGGACTAAGCAGAGCTGACTATCTTAAACACATCTATATAATTTAGAAAGAAGCCACAAAGATTCAGCACCACTACTGGAATTCATCTAGGTCCAGTTGGGTCTACATTTGATGATTCTGTCACCAAGTCCTAACCATGCCCTGATTTATGGTAGGCCAGATGGCTCTGTGGGACAGTGGGTACCATGAAAGCAATACCAGTCACCACACACACACACCCCTTCTCTAGCTCACAAGTTGTGCTTGAGGACTTCCCCGGGGGTCGAGTGGTTAGGAATTCACCTGCCAATGCAGGGGATATGGGGATTGATCCCTGGTCCAGGAAGATTCCACATGCTGTGGGGCAACTAAGACCGTGAACCACAACTCCTGAGCCTGAGCTCTCAAGCCCATGAGCTGCACTCCTGAACCCGTGCACCCCAGAGCTGGTGCTCTGCGACAACGGACGCCACCACAAAGAGAAGATTGAGCACTGCAGCGGAGAGGAGACCCACTCGTCACAACCAGAGAAAGCCCGCTCCCAGCAAGGAGGACCTGGTGCAGTCAACAGTTAAAAATAGATAAATAAGATAAACGACAATAATCTTGCTACCAAATAAAAGTTGTACCTGAAGCAAAGCTGTGAGCCTCTGTATACTCTTAAGTGATTCTTCTATTTCCAGTAATACACTTCATGGTTCAAAAGTTGTATTTTAAAATTTTTCCTGATAACCAATCTCAATCTTCCCAGCTACATCCCAACTCTATTGTGTCCAATAGTGATTCCCTCTAGTAAAGTTTGTTAAAAAGAGGACAGAAATTGCTAGAGATTTTCCTTCCTATTTCTAATTTAATCACTTTATGATTGTCCCTCTAAAAATAATTCTACATTTAACCAAACACTGCTCCAAAATGCCAAGGTCAATTGAATTCTATTTCTATTCTCGAAAGAGCTAACCACCTGACGTAAGCTGGCGTCACTAAGCAGAGGCAGCCCTGGGACTCTGAGTTCTAGTACTAACTCTGCCAGTGGCTAGCTAGATGGTCCTGAATAAATGATTACACTATCATCTTAAGAGAAGGGTGATGATAAGATGAAGATGATGCTAATACTTCATAAGGTTACATGGCTTTTTGCTCTAACTACTTCAAAGCGTTTTACAGATTTAGCCTTAAACCAATAGGGAATAGTAAACACACTCGAGCCTAGATGAATAAACTGAAGTGCTAAAAAGCAAAACAGAACCTTAGTGGTCATAATGCAACATTTATATTAAAGTTAAAAAAAAAAAGAACATAATATCATCTTCCAGTGTTAAAATTTTAAAAACTAAATTGTTTATATGAAAATATATTTAGAGAGGAAATCCTTTGTAATTCACTGTAAAAGACAGTGAAGGATAACATGCACAAGCAAAGTTTCACAAATTCATAAAACACAGTGTGTTCCTCAGAGGAAGGAATTGTATTTCAAGAGTTCATTTCATCATATGACCCTGTGTCCTGGACAGGAAACCTTTTTTTGGACCAGGCACAGGTTCAGAATGTGTTAGCTGCTGTTAGCTGTGCAGCAGCTAACACATTTGAATTGGTAATAACTCCACCATCAGAAGCATCTCTAATATTACAAATTATTTCTGGTGCTTCTGACTAGAGACACTGAGGAACTGTGGCAGTAAATGACTCCAGCAGTGTTCTCAAGAGAAGAAATAAATTTATCTTAAAGAATTTTAAAATGAGAAGCTTATTTTAAAAGAAGTTTTAGAAGTCCTTAGAGATTATATTAATTATCACTGTTAAAAACTGTCTCTGGTCTAGTTAATGAGTTTCAAGAAATTATAATATGATTACAAAGTTAAAATTGCATAAAAGCATTGAAGCTTTAGATAAGTACTATTTTTCTCAATGTTTCAGAAAGTAAGTAAATTAAAAGCTTAGGATAGATCTTTGAATTCATGAAAAAAAAAAAAATCCTCTCCTGACAAAATTTCTTAATTTTTTTTTCTTAAATGATAATTAAAGTTCTGTGGAGGTTTTTTGATTTTGTTTTGTTTCTGCTGACTTTTAGACAAAACACTTTGGCACAAAAACATAAATCTGAGAACTAAGGTAAATGGTCCTCATGATTCAGTTGAAATATGAACTACATACGGATCACTGACATGTCTTTGTCTTCCTCAGTGTGAGTACCCCTGCCTGTCTGCCTACAGCTGTACGTTATGATTTCAAAGCCTTCCCCCAGATACTCCACTGTGAGACACCAGCAACAGGGAGATCCTGGCCCTGGCTTTTCTCCTTTCAACGTTTTATTATCAGTGGGAAAGTTGCATTTAGGAAACATGATATACCAACTGCTTCAAAAATCCTGTGCCTATTCTAGTTAAAGCCTCACCACAACGGCTCTCGGGGACACAGTAGCATCCCGCACTGTGTCACAGGGAGCAGGAGGCAGCAGGTTGAAGCTAGAGACTGCCCTCTACTCTTCTACATCTCTGCTGGGCCACAAACACGGGCATCCCAACTTCTGGCCTCAAAACAGAATGACTTAGCTGCTGCTTCTGCCCCATTTAAGCCATGGAGGTTGAATGCACATAAAACAAAACCAAACTTATATATCCCTTATCATCTCATCACAAAATGTATAATGAGTTTGACAGACCAACCTAACACTCAGCACATTATAACCACTTTAAAAATTTGGGATGAATGAATCAATAAACATGAGCGTTATGCAAGAGGATGGTCATCAACTCTTCTAATTCTTCCAAGGGAAAAACAAGAGGAAAAAAATACATTTAAGCTATAGAATAAACACCAGTGGTGAGAATTAGAAGGAATTTACCTAGGCATGGCTGTTAAATTTTATAAAGGACTTCCCAAAATGTGAGGGGTTCGCATAAACTTTGAAAGTGAAGTTGAAATACTGATTACAAACAAGAGAATGAGCAAGCCTGACGATTCTATCACCTGTGTGATACAGATACATACTACTTTTCACATTCAAGTCCAAAGTAAAAGTAATTTCATCTGTATGGCACATGACCATATTCAAGATACTTTAATATATATTATTTCATTTGATCCTCAAATCATAATCTCCACTTTACAGATTAAAAAAAAAAAAAGACTCAGAAAAGTTTTATGCTTTGGGCCAACTCTTATTCACACTCTTGGAAATGATCATTAGGTTTCTGAGTCCCTGTCCAGAGTCTGTTCTAATTTGCAGAAAACAAAACAAATTTAAAATATCCTATATTAAGATGTGACTTAGCTTCCATTTAAAATCTAGTTCAAAACACTTAAAGAATTTCTTATACATTTCTTTGGAGAAAAAAATAGTTTTAACATAATATATATATAAAATATCAGCTGAGAAGGATTTTATTGTGTATTTTATTATGTAGTAGAAAGAATATATACAGAGTCCTCTTAAAAATTTTTATGGACATGTCAAAATAGGATTTTCACTATCTCTAGCTCATTCTAGTCAGTATGTTTAGTAATAAGTACCAGGAATGTAACACTGAAGACTGACGAATATCCTAAAATTACTGTTCCACAACAATAATACATTTCAAGAGATGGTATTCTTAATGATATAATTAAAAAAAAAACATATGAATCACTTTGTTTCAGTCACTGACACATTCATCAGATTATGGAAACAGGTAATTCCAGTTTTAACTATCACTCTGTTATAAAAATTTATTTTTTACTCTTTTGGACTGACTGGAAGTCATTTTATAACTGATAAATTAGGAAAACTGCTCATTCTTTTAAAACTAGCATCCCGCACTGTGTCACAGGGAGCAGGAGGCAGCAGGTTGAAGCTAGAGACTGCCCTCTACTCTTCTACATCTCTGCTGGGCCACAAACACGGGCATCCCAACTTCTGGCCTCAAAACAGAATGACTTAGCTGCTGCTTCTGCCCCATTTAAGCCATGGAGGTTGAATGCACATAAAACAAAACCAAACTTATATATCCCTTATCATCTCATCACAAAATGTATAATGAGTTTGACAGACCAACCTAACACTCAGCACATTATAACCACTTTAAAAATTTGGGATGAATGAATCAATAAACATGAGCGTTATGCAAGAGGATGGTCATCAACTCTTCTAAT